AAAAACAAGTCCGTGAAAATTTTATGGTTCCAAAAACATACGTGGCAAGGATGGAGTTTCTTAAGTTACTTATGGAAGAATGATTCATATCGTGTTTTTCCCATTTCATTTTATCCATCCCTTTTTAGGATGATGTCTCACATTATCGTTTAATATTGTGATATTATGTTTTCCACTGGTTTCATATCATGTATTATCGTTTGACATTATGTATGGCGTTTGACATTATGTATTATCCTTTGACATTATATGACGTTTCATATTATCTATCCTTTTTATATGCGTTTTTAATATGTTTGAATTTTTTTATCTATTAATAGGATGGATAGTGATTACTCTGATTCAAATGATGATAATGAAATAAATTGGGTGGAAGAGGAGAACAAATGACTACTATCATGTGCAATAGCTATCAAAGGGATAATGATAAGTCATAAATTGAATGGCACACATATGCCTTGCCGCACATTTTCTCGCACAGGAAACATATTTATTCATGAAGTACTTAACGGTCATCCTAGACGTTGCTACGAAGATTTCAGACTACATGTCCCAATATTCAAAATGTTGTGTTAAGATCTTACTACATGTTATGGATTAAAGCCAACACGTAATATATGTATTGAGGAGTCTGTTGGCATTTTCTTGATGACTTTAGCACATTGGTGTAGGAATAGGTTAATTCAAGAAACCTTTAATCATTCTAGAGAGACTATTCGTAGGCATTTCCATGTTGTTTTGAAAGTTGTGCTTAAGTTAAGTGCGAACATCATAAAGCCAAATGCAAATTATAATGAAGATGTACCCACACATATTTTAAATAAATCTCGTTATTATCCAATGTTCAAGGTACTTCCCATATCTTGCTTCGTATTTGACTGTAGCATTTCAATAGATTAATAAATTATTTTACTTTATATGTGTAGGATTGTATTGACGCTATCGATGGGACACACGTCAGGGCATCCGTTCGAGAGCATGAGCAAGCAAAATACATTGGTAGAAAAGGATATGCGACGCAAAATATCATGGCAGTTTGTGATTTTAATATGTATTTTACGTTTGCATGGGCTGGATGGGAGGGAACTGCACATGACACACATATATTTTTTGAAGCCTTACACATAATTGAACTTAAATTTCCATATCCGATAAGTGGTTAGTATTTTCTTGTAGTAATGCAAACTTTTATGTTTTCATACAATTTGAAATGAATAACAGTAGTTTGTTTATTTTTCATAACAGATAAGTATTATGTCGTTGATGTTGGATATCCAAATACTAAAGGTTATCTTGCTCTATACAAAGGAACAACTATTCGTTATCACATACCTGATTTCCGTCGTGGACAAACTGTAACACCTCGGTTACGATCTCACCAAAACATAACATACGAGATATCATTTTCTAAGTAAACCACCAAAAGCTAATTATACTTTAATAAGTATTTCCAAATCCAAAACGAAAGCTTACAATCTTATAATTAAAACATTTACCAACCAAAAATCGGGACAACATAATAACTACCCGGATATATTTACAACCCAAAATAGAAACTAGACATAATTATATATATATATATACATACATACATATATATATATATATATATATATATATACCAAGGTTTGGCAACGATCTCCAAACTAATCACGAACTAACTACACCGGGTTCTTGCCTTTATCTTCTTTCTTTCCTGAAAAAAAAAGTGAGCTAACGGAATAAGCACATGGCTTAGTGAGATAAATAGTCTAAACAAATACTATTGAAATCAAGTCTATACAATTACACGGGAACCATAAACCAACCAATTGAATGGTTATATCAATGAATAATAAATTGAGAGTAACACTTACGAAATAAGGGTTGTCCATAATATAACCAAAGACCAAGTGCCGGAATCCAACAATTCACTTGACATAACATGCTTATTACGAAATGCAAATTACAAGTAATTATCAAATGATATCAGGTCAATTCCTTTGCAAGGGACTAATATCATACGTTAGTCAAACGGTCTAAAGAAACATGTCGGAATAACCAAACAATGGAACACATAGGACTAGCAGGGAGCCCATCATCACTGGGTATGCTCGAGCTCCTATGGTTCATGGAATACAATGCTTAGGACTGGCAGGGAGCCCGCCTTCATCTCCCGGGTATGTCCGAGTCCCTGTACTCGTGCCTCTCTTCACATTAGGCACCGAGTACGGCCAACAGACAACGAGAACGACTAGAATGTCTCACCGATTCCTCCCCCTTCACGGGCATGTTGACATTCACCGTTTTCGGGACGGATCACACAAAGTAATCCCCGTACTTCCGGTTTCACAAGAAATCAAAGAAACAATACCGACGGAATATATGGATATCCAAACCGACCGACATTTCGAAAGAATTCGTAATCGAGAGATCAATACGTACAAAGACAAAAGACCAATAAAAACCGACTCTAAAGTCATAGAAATCATATACATATAGATGGCACATAAATATACACTCAATACAATAATATTTGAATAGCTATTTAACTCACCTCAAGACCGAATGTCAAATACGGTCAAACCGAACGACAAATGTCCAACCTTGCAATCCAACTATAAGATACCCTCCAAAGGACTCAAAAAAGATTAAATTATCCCCTGGAGTTCATATATCAAATTTCGTAAGCATTGGTACAACCAAACACATTTTATCAACTTAATCATGTCATAAGCTAACTTTAATTATATGTTGCAGCTCTGTTTTTAACCTCTTTTTTCCCTCACTTAAACTCAAAATAACAATTTGACTTCAACAGATGGATTAAAGTAGATATGTATATCTTTCCAAAGCCGCTGACCTCATATTTTTCTGATTTTTCTACGATTTTCTACAATTTTTACAAAACAGTGCTGTAACATGACTTTCAAACTCGAAAAATCATACTTTTATCCAAATAAGTATYCAATTYCATTCCAATCCTAACCAAACTCAGATGTTAACTTCATTTTATCATCATCAAGGTAAAATCAACAAGAAACCATGGTTCATTCATCTATTTCTACCAATTTCATCAAAATCCATCTTTTGTATAACAAATAGTCAACTTATTCATAGTGAAAACTCACTTATTCTTACCATCTTCTTGCATATCAACCATATAATCAATGAATTAACTAATGTATATTCATAATTTRAGCATAATATCACAATTTCTACACTTATCTTACACATGCAGTAAGCTTATATCACCCAAATGTCATCATACTTGTTACAACTTCAAGAACAAGAACAAGGATGAGATTACCTTCAAATTGTTGTGTAATCATTCAAAATAACATGATATTCACCAACATAAAACCATAATCTTACAAAATCATCCACTAATTACAAACATGCAATCCCTTATTTCCTTGATTGACACTAATTGCAAAGATTAAACTTAGTATTAGGAGTATACCTTCAATAATCTTCACATATTCATCAAGAATTCATCACTTGATCTTTGATTCTCCAAGAATTGAAGTTGTTTGATCTTAAGTGTGTGTAATTCGCACCTTTACTGTGTGTGCAAGTTATGAGACTGAAAATGGCCTAAAATGGAGTCTAAAATCGACTTTTCTAGGTTAAATCCGAGCTGGGTCGGGTTTGACCCGCCTAAGTACCCATTTTGACCACTAAACACTAAAAATAACATAACTTTTCGCTCGAAGCTCCGTTTTCGATGAGATTTTCGCCTACGCGTTCGTAACGAAATAATCTACAATTTCCAATAGAAATATTCCAGAAAAGATCTTCTTAAAAAATTTGGTTTTACGAATCCATAGCTTAATTGTTGACGTTTTGACTCGATTTCTTCAATTTTCTCAATCTAACTCCRATTGGGATGAAATTTTCTAAATCCTCTCATATACTCCAAAGAARTATGACCTTAAAATTTCATCCCCAAACTCCCACTAAATCCTTGGTTACCTTATATGGCCACTRCTAATACACGTAGTAAAATTTCAACATGCTTAACATTTTCTCGYATGTAAGCACATAATATCCTTCGTAAAAATGTAAATTAGGCGCACTTAGCAAATAATATGGGAAATTAGAATTGAGATGTTACACAAACTGCATCAATACGTGCTCCCAAAGGAGCAAAAGAGACATTTAAATGTTATCACTCATCACTGAGAAATGTTGTTGAACGAACTTTTGGAGTATGGAAAGCTAGGTGGCAAATACTAAAAGATATGCGTGTCAATTACACCTATGAGACACAAGTAAATATAGTGCTAGTGTCGATGGCAATTCATAATTATATTAGAATGAAAGGTAGTTTTGACGAAGCATTTGACATGACGCAACAAGAATCATACAACCCTTATATTGATGTTGATGATGAAGGATGTGGTAGCAATAATGAAGCACATGAAAATACAAGTTCACGTCGTAGGAGTGACGATCTATATATGAGTGCGGTAAGAGATGATTGCAGGAGATCTAATAGGTGGATCCAGATGAATATTTATTATAAATGACGATCTATTTTTGTTATTGATATTTTGGTTATAAAAATATTACATCTATAATGACGATCTATAATATTTTTTTGTTATACAGATCTATTATTTTTGTCATAAATTATTAATGGTATTGGTATAAATGTTTGTTAATTAAGTTAGTTTTTTGGTTATAAATTTTTAATCTTACGGATATAAATTATTAATCTTATTGATATAAATTTTTGTCAAAAATATTATTATAAATGATGAAAAATAAATTTTTACATGTTAAAAAATCAAATAAGTTAATAAACAAACTCAAACACTTCCATAAGTCAATAATATGTAACAATGTCCTTTTTGGTCATTTTACATATATAAGCAAAATTTGTTAAACACTAAAAAAATAACTTATCAACTTATTAATTTTTGATACCGCTAAAAGTTAATCCAAACATTTTTTATAAAACTCTGATATAATACGCATAAATCGATAAACACTTTAAAATAACATAAATTGTTTTAGATAGACAGTCTGAGACACCCCTGATAAAATAAAGCTCGTCAATGGTCTCGTCTCATAGATTACCCACGCTCCCCCTTTGCTCAAGTTAACCTTTCCCCAACTGCAGCAGTTGCTTTCCTTTCGTATCTTCTAAAACGGTAACATATATCGGGACAGTTGGATCACCCACTCGATCCACCGCCTATTTCCACCGGCCTCCGATCCTCTGGTAATAAATTCATAAGCATCCTTTTTTTTATATATGGAAATCTCTAACGGTTATCTGAACAAATCTCATCACAACACCTCTTTTGCTGCTACTTCTCAGCGAGACGTCACTTACAGGTCCCTCTCTCTCTCTCTTGTGTAATCATCCAATTTTATGCTTTTTAGATGGTTAATCATCGTCATTAATTTGCAGAGCCAGTTTTATTGTGGCTAATTGTAATAGTTAGGATTATTGATATGAAGCTTCCTGCTTTAAGTTACTGCGATTGAACTTTGATCATTGCAGGCTTAATTAATTTAGTTGGTTTGGGTGTGACAGCTGTAAGCATTGACAAGTCAACTTGTCTTTCATCATTCTTATTTGTAGACGTACAAAATTTCACCTTAATTCAATTGAAAATTTACTTATTTTCTTAGATTATAGGAAGCAAATATAATCCCCTCCGGGTTTTTCCAGGGGTAGAGTCCACTCACAAAACTCTCAAAGATTAAGAATGTATATAATGGTGGATTGGCTCACGTCCCATAGATGTTTAGGGTTCAGATAATATGTAATAATGGTGCACCAAATGGGTGATTGTTGGAGTCACCTTTATTTTAACCAATTTCAATCTCCTAAGAGTTATATTCTTGAGTTGAGATATGGGTCTTCTTCAACCTGAAAGAAAGGGGTAGATTGATCTTCGAAATAGAAGATGCTCTGAAATCTGGAAATGTAAAGGAAACTGGAAATAAAGTAATGCCCAACCAAAAAGGGAAGGAAATCATCAACACACACCATCATTGTATATCATAGCTAGATGTCCTATTTTGATGCCACTCCTTCCAATTCTCTTACTCTCATTGGTAGAAGTAATGAATTAACCATATGCAACTCTGAATTAGAAGGCCACTCCATCTAGGACTTTTTCTCAAGTATGCATTGAGAATCATTCTTCACAATCTGAGCAGTGACAGTGAACTTTATGGATGTGGCTCTAGCCACATATTATCAACACAAGTCACACAAATCATGTCTTTGTGTGATTCTTACGCATGATGTGGATCTTCCTTCTTAGGAAGATCTGGACTGGTTTGACAGGTGTTGTTGCATCGGTAGATGTTGTCAGCACAAGCACAGGTAAGATTTTACATGCATTCCTTTACTTTGTTTTAGGCATGGTTATCCATATAAACTAGAAACAGACATGGCAAGTGCAGAATTATCCTGATTCCTGAGGGATATTTTAGGTAACCCACTACGTTAACATAAACAACAATGGACTGCCGAATATTGTAGGGACACTTCAGTCTAGCCCATGTTTAAGAAGATGAAAACAGATCATGTACAAAGACACAGATGGTCTAAAATGAGAACACAACCGGGTGGAGAGATTATTAGAACTGAACTGGAGAGGACAATGGAACAAGAGAGAAAAATGTGTTTGACACTTGAATAGCCTATTTGAAGTTTTGGAAATCCACCACTCAAACAAAATCAGTGATTGCCAGAAGTAAGCTCTGAAGGCCACTATCAGTGAGGAGTACTCAGAAGGTTAGATGTGGAGTCCTGAGGCAACATAGTGGAAACTGTTCAAAAACATATGAACACTATCTGTCAACTGATGATTACGTGCCCACAGCATTGGAAGCAACAACATTCTGATGTGGTTTTACCCAGCTATAACCCTAAAGCTCTGATATCATATAAATGTTTTGGTGCCCAAAGAATATGAGTAGTATGTATTATCGGAGGAGAGTATGGTAAATCTAATGGTTAAACATAATGAAACCCAAATGATAGCTAGTTCTATCTCCTAAAAACTTCATGGTCATTTTGTGTGTAAATTGGCCTTTTTCAGAAGAGAAATAAAAATATATAATTCACGAAGTGTCTTAATGGAATATAGGGTATATTATGTTTTTGTTCGTTCATTTTAAGAACAAAGATAGAATTCTAGTTGGTAAACTGCAGTGTTTGGATCTTTTTGTTTGTAAATATGAGAAAGTAGCAAATAGCCAAATAGTGACAGTACTTTTGAGGCTAACGTAATAGAGAAGAGAGTGGTGGTTTCCAGTCTAGAGGAAATCCACCGATGAGATGTTCCATATAGAAACTTGGGCCATTTTGAAAATTGGTGTACGAGAGTAATGATCTGAAAGGTACTAGGGACTTCTCTCTCCATGATAAATTTTTTGTAGTCATTGCTAGATAAGGTAATGATACCAGTTTTCAATAACTAAATAATCTCAACAATGCCCATTGTTAGATGGGTAGTTCATGTATTAAATTTATGTACGGTATAAAGTCCAATCACGTGTAATGCTATAAAAGAAATCTCCTTTCTTATGCTTGACTAATACATTTTCCTTTGATGAGCTATAACAAACTTCTTTGAAAATTGGTCGGGAAGTGGCTGTTTAGGGATCATGCAGTTTGATAGAGGTCACTGTCACAGTCATTTCGATCTTTTCTCACTCTTATTATTTATCTATTTTTATTTTATTAATTTGGAAGGTTTATGACCTCTTTTAATGCATACAAGCCTTTGAAGTTTTGTGATCTAGGAATTTGCCTTATGTAATGTTGTCTAGCAAATCATGATGCATTTGTTCATGAGTTTATATATTCTTCTTTAGCACTTGGTTAATTAACCGGTACGATATCGTGGTTGTTGATAGGGTTTCTATGACTTGAAATGCCGATTTCCATTTGTGCTTAAGAGTCCTTTTACATATGTTTTGGTTTATGGAATCATGTTTTTCAAGCATACTTTCATTTAGCTGGGTGGAAAATGGATAGGCAAAGGCTTTGTTGGACCGGAAAGTGAAAAATGAGATTACACAGGAAGTTAAATTTTTTTTTTCTGATTGTATGTACTTAGAGATGCACAAATGGGCCCAGGACAACCTGAAAAGGAGCGGTGACACGAAGGATTGCAATTGGGCCCAGTCTAGGCCCAAAAATCCATCCAGTCCGACATTTATGTCGAGGACAGGTCAAGGACTGGTAATGGGAACCCGCGGTTATTGTGCCCGATCAAAGCTTTGACCTTTTTGGTTTTTTTTACTTTACAGATGATTTTTCCACTCATAATAATCTATGGGAACATATCAATACTCTTATGGTCTTATGAAACAACAAACGAACAATATTGGAATACTATTTTATCAAAAAAACTTGTTGGTAAAAAATGCATTTTTGAAATATTATTCTAAGAGAGAAGGAGGGGGGGGGAGAGGGTGTTTCGTGTTTGGTAATGTGAATCTGGTGGGAAAAATGTGGAGTCAATTCAAGTCGAATCCTCCCGAAAATAATAAAAGCTTGTGGATGGCAAAGGCTTTAATGCAAAGTAACTTTGCAAGAAGAGGGTTTTGTGGACCTATTTGTGTACTGTCCACAACAAAATAATAAAAATATTACAATCTGCAAGACAAAGTGTCTATGTGGGCATTATTTGCCATGGCTATTTGGTGATAACATTGAAAAAGTTGGCTATTTTGTGAGGTAAAGGTGGGAGAAAGGATGTGAATACCCCTTAGGAATAATAAGACCGGTGAGGACAGGTCCAGTCCCAAGGAACTGAATTAGGTCCATTTTTCAGGACAAGACTAGGCCTCATAAGGATCGGTAGTAAATATTTTTTGGTTTGACAGGGATGGGAAGGATAGGGTTTATGTGTGAACCTGCTCCAGCCTTTTCATCTCTACTATGGAGATAGGAAACAAAAAATAAATTCATGATAAGACTTGGGTTTTAGTGGGTTATATATATACACACTCATAAATCATAATGTAACTTATTTCTTGTATTGGTTTGGTTTTCTATCCACGTACTTTACACCCATATCCCCATGCCCTTATACTCGCAACATAGCTTATTAGAGCACTCCAACATATTCTATATAATTTCTCCAAAGTGAAGAAGAACAACTTAAAATCCCCCCCAAAAAATACATGCAACTCTAACAGTTCTCCATTTTGGAGATTTTAACATTCTATGCTGTTACAACAGTCAAAAAATACAAAAGCGTGGTTAGCACTATGATTTGAAATGGCCGTTATCGCGATGGTAAAGCAGTGGTATAGCGGTCCAAAAATTGGGGTTCATACAATTATTAGAATTATATATATATATATATATATATATAATATGTATGCTTACATAACTTTAACATATTTTATGTATTCATCAAAAATATAGTTTCAACGTCAAAGCATCAACTTATACAAGTAAATTTCACACAAACAAAAATAGGAAAAGTGTTCATGAACGAGCTAATTGCAAGCAATAGGTTCAGCTAATACGTTCACTTCTTCATTTAGGTTAGCTTTTCCTCCTTCCCTTCATCTCCAATGTGATCATGATTATCATCATCATCCCTATAACGCTCTCTTTTACTTCTTGTACTGGGGCCAACTTGTTGATTACCTCCTATTATTTCTCGTACATTTGATCAAAGGAGACCATCTCTTGCATCCACAAACTCTTGGTGCTCATCATCGATCGGAACCACCGAATCATCATTTTCTCCAACATCTTTCAAGAAAATAGGATTTGAAGATTTGTTATCATTAAGAGATTTCTAGTACCTCTCTAGTCTTTTATTGTATTGAATGAATACAAGATCATTCAACTTCTTTACAAAACACAATTTCTCTTCTTCCTGTGCAACTAAAATTGTAAATTAAAAAAAAATATTTGAGTTAATGTTCCATTTTAGCTAATTTATTTTCCATGACAAAGAAAACTTACATGATCAAATGCACTCCAATTGCACTCACAAGGTGAAACACTACAAGTTTGACTTAGAATACTCTGTTGGAGCAAAGGAGTGTCGATGCCATAGAGCACCACCATGCATCTACATTTTATGGGTAAATAAATAAGTTAGATATATCATACTTACATGGTGCACCTTTCACTCTATTTCTTATCGCAGCTGGAGATCCAAATTGCTCCTCTAACTCAACATATTAATCCAACTCTGACCTCAAGGTATCATTTTTATTTTCATCGTGCACAAGTGGATCAATAGCCTCATACAGTTCGGTATTAATATATATATTATCCTCAACTGTAGAATCTTGTGCATAATAGATGGTAGGTTTGAGATAATTTCCAACTACAGATGTAC